CTCACAAGCTGATCATTTTCCTGAGGAACAGGCTTAAGTATGCCCTGACTGGCGATGAAGTGAAGATGATCTGCATGCAGCGCTTCATTAAGATTGGTGGCAAACTCAGGACAGATATGACCTACCCTGCTGGGTTTATGGATGTCATCAGTATTGACAAGACTGGAGAGAACTTCCGTCTGATCTATGACACCAAGGGTCGTTTTGCCGTTCATCGTATTACACCTGAGGAGGCCAAGTACAAGTTGTGCAAAGTGAGAAAGATCTTTGTGGACACAAAAGGACTCCCACATCTGGTGACCCATGATGCTCGCACTATTCGCTACCCTGATCCCCTCATCAAGGTGAATGACACCATTCAGACTGATTTGGATACGGGCAAAATAGCCGACTTCATCAAGTTTGACACTGATAACCTGTGTATGGTGACTGGGGTGCTAACTTGGGAAGAATTGGTGTGATCACCAACAGAGAGAGACATCCCGGCTCTTTTTTTTTTTTTTTTTTTTGGTTTTTCGAGACAGGGTTTCTCTGTGGTTTTGGTTCCTGTCCTGGAACTAGCTCTTATAGACCAGGCTGGTCTCGAACTCACAGAGATCCGCCTGCCTCTGTCTCCCGAGTGCTGGGATTAAAGGCGTGGGCCACCATCGCCCGTAATCCCGGCTCTTTTGATGTGGTCTATGTGAAAGATGCCAATGGCAACAGTTTTGCCACCCGGCTTTCCAACATTTTTGTTATTGGCAAGGGTAACAAACCATGGATTTCTCTCCCCTGAGGAAAAGGAATTGCTGAAGAGAGAGACAAGAGGCTAGCGGCCAAACAGAGCAGTGGGTGAGACGATCTCTAAGAGACATGCTGGAGACCTATTTGTACTCTTGCTAACAAGCCTTTCTAGGCAACGTGCTAGATTAAACAGCATGATGAAAACAAAACAAAACAAAACAAAAATGATCAAAAGATCCTACGGTTAATCTCACAGTGATGAAAAACTAAGTGCTTTCGCACTAAGACTTGGAACAAGGCTCTTTAACTACTTTTATTTGATATAGCATTGACAATCTTGCCTATGATAATATAAGATTAAAAAGCATAGATTGCATTATTATTGTCCCTATTTACATAAAACATAATTGGTTATGTATAAAAATCCCAGAGAACTTTTAAATAAAATTCCTATAAATAACAAAGTTGGAAAGGCTTGCAGAACTCAAGATTAACAAATAAAAATCAGTTGTACTCCACATACCATCAAAGAATAATTAGAAATACATTTTTTACTATGATTGATTTTACTGAGCTATACATTTTTCTATGCTCCCCTCCCTTTCTCTCCCCTCCCCTTTTACCCTCTCCTCTTGTCAGAAATTCTGTCCTGCCTGGTCCTGCAGCCCTTCAGTACCAAAGAAACACACACACAGGCCTACATTAATTATAAACTGATTGGCATATTAGCTCAGGCTTCTTATTAACTCTTACATCTTAAATTAGCCCATAATCCTTGTATGTGTTAGCCACGTGGCTCAGTACCTTTTATCAATGAGGCATTCTCATCTTGCTTCCTTTGCATTAGGATGATGATTGCAGACTGAAGCTTTCCTCTTCCTACAATTCTGTTCTGGTCACTCCACCTCTACTTCCTGCCTGGCTACTGGCCAATCAGCATTTTATTTAACAACTGACAAACCTTTACAGGGTGCAAGACCATTGTCTCACAGCACTCTTCTATGGTCCCCATGCTTCCAATTTACTCAGAAGATCTTGTCTTTTTCTACTTTCCATGTGCATTATTAGATCCGTGCATGTCTCTCTTAGGGTCCTCTTTGTTGTCTAGGTTCTCTGGGATTGTGAATTATAGGCTGGTAGAAATACATTTTTAAACACATTTTTAAACAAAATATGTACAGTTGCTTGCAAAATTAAAACTACAAAATGTAGGTGAAAGAAATCAAAGAAGACTTAAGTGGTGAAATACACTAAGCTCATAGATGTGCTAATTAGTTTTTTGTTAGCTTGGTGTGAAGTAGTCATATGAGAAAGGGAACCTCATTTGAGAAAATGCCTTCTTAAGGTTGGCCTGTAGGGCATTTTTGTAATGATTGTTATGAGAGAACACAGTTAACTGTGAGTGGTACCATCACTAGCAAGTAGTCCTGGGTGCTATGGAAAAGCAGGCTGGACAAAGTAAGGATGGAGAGCAAGCCAGTAAGTAGTGTTCTTCCATGCTTCCTGCTTCGGTTTCTGTATCAAGGTTTCCACCTTGAGCTCCTGCCCTGACTTTCTTCAATGATGGACTACAACTGTAAGCTGAACACCCTAATTTACTTTTGGTGTTTATCACAACAATAAAAAGCAAACTGTAACAGCGAGCTACAAGATTCAACACAGTAAAGATATCTGTTCCCACCAATGTACACATTTAATGTAATACCAGTCAGACTTCAAGTATAGCTTTTGTTAATGTACACAAATTTAATTTAAAATTTCTGTAGAAGGTCAGTTGCTAAATTAAACATATTTTACAAAAGAATAGAATTTATTAATTACTCTACCCTAATTTATAGCTTACTATACAGCTGAACTATTATTGCACATTCCTCAGAAGTTAATGAAACAGGATAGACAGGCCAGTAGATCCACAAAAGACTGATTTGGTGTAAATACAATCAATGGAGAAAGGGTAATTTCTTCTACAAATGGTGTTAGAATAACTGGGCATTCATATGCAAAAATGAATCACAACCTAAATTATACTCCTTATAAAATAGTAACTCAAAACAGATTAAAGTCTTAAAATGTAATATGTAATAACTTAAAATTTTTAGGAAACCTAATAGGAAATATCATTGTTGGGGAGCCAATTTTAGACCTTTCTCTTTTCCCCAAATTGGCTCCAAAAGCTATTAAAAGTCACACTAAAAAGAAAACATGAAAGTGGAAGAGGGACTTGTTGGAAGGAAAACAGACAGAGAATGAGATGAGGGAGTGGTGGTTAAAAATAACTAATATTCCTATACATGTATGAAACTGCCAACAAATTGAAAAAATGTGAGTGTATAAACTGGACTGTGTCAAAATAAATAACTTTGTAATATACTGTTAAGAGAATGAGGGAGAAAGCCAGGCACAGTGACACATCTGTACCCATGTACAAATGTATACACACACATACACAAACATATATTGAAGCCAGGCAGTGGTGGTGCATGCGTTTAATCCCAGCACTCAGGAGGCAAAGGCAGGTGGATCTCTGTGAGTTCGAGGCCAGCCTGATCTACAGAGTGAGTTCCAAGATAGGCTCTAAAACTACACAGAGAAACCCTGCCTCGAACCCTTCCCCCCCAAAAAAGCTATATGAATAAATGTTTAAAATATAAGTTTAGTTATTTTTTTACCCATAACTTTTATTCATTTGCAATTACATAAGTATAAAGTTACAAGAGAAATAGAAGATTCCTACATTAATTGTCCAGATACACATGTCATTAACAAATTTTCTGCTGTGAAATCTATCTGTCTGTCTATCTATCTATCTATCTATCTATCTATCTATCTATCTATCTATCTCCATGTGTTTTATTTGGGCTTGTATTTTTGTATTTAAAATTCCATTTTCTAGGAATTCAGGTTTTTTTTTAATTTTACAAAAGTAATGATTTAGAAGAAATTGGAAGTTTGCATAAATTCTTGTTAAGTTTCAAGCCCAGGACAAATGGCTGAGGTACCTATTTAACATATCAAACAGGACCTGGCCTCCAAGTTTTCCCAGCATCTCTCAGTCTCTACCTTTTACAAGGTATGGCTTGCATACCCTACCCTTTACCCTAAATTCTCCAGGCCAGGGTCTGGGCTGCCCTTCCCCAAGAGGCTCTTTCCAATGTAATCCAGACATTTTGGTTACTTGGCCCTTTTGGACCTTTAGTCTCCTGGCTGCTGCATCTGGTTCTCCTCCCGCCTCTATCACGTGGTTCATCTCAGTTTGGTCATGTCCATTAATGACTCTCTCGGATGTCCCTACCTCTGAGGCCTATGCTCTCCCACATGTCTATAATAAACTTTCTTCTCCAACATACACAGGAATATTCATGTCCTTTCCTTTCCTTTTCTTTTGTTTTTCATTTAATAACCATATTTTTCATTTTAGAAACATCACTTTAAAAGACCTTACACCAAAGAACATTACAGCAAAGTTAACCTTAGTCAAAGGACTTCATTTTTTTATGCTCAAATGGTTTGTTATGAAATGGCTCCTCCTTGTGGCAATTTTCAACAAAGGCATTTTAATTTTTTTTTAAATATAATTTTTTTATTGAAAAAAAAAAGATTTCCGCCTCCTCCCCGCCTCCCATTTCCCTCCCCGTCTCCCTTTTCCCCCTTCCTCCCTCTCCTCTCCCCCTCCCCCCACTCCTCTCCCCCTCCCTCTCCAGTCTGAGGGGCAGTCAGG